GTAAATGTCATAAACTCTTGCAAAAGTTTTTAACTAAAAAAAACCTGATAGGTGAAAGTTTTATAAAAGCAATCATTAAATTTTTATCTAAAACTGAAAAATCAAGAAATGGAGAAAAGACTTATATTGGTACTTCCAAAAGAACTAAAAGGAGAAACCAGTAACAATGGTTTCCTCTGCAGACTATCAGATCCTGTGCCTTTGTTAGAAAAGGCTATAAAATCGACTCTCAGTTTTCTAACAATCTACACGATCACCTAAGAAGGCATCAGAGTTTTCAGAAAAAAATAATAATCACTAATATTTTATTGAATTTCAACTTTTTCTAGGCATTCATTACATGTTTTAACTCATTTAATACTCATCTCAAATGTATGGGGGAGGTACTATTATGATGCCCATTTTAAAAATGAAGAAACTACAGGGAGATTAAACACTTCCATAAACTCATACATCTAAATGATTAAGCCAGAATCTGAATCCATGAGGTCTGGCTTCATGGGGAAAAAAAAACAGTTACTAGAGAAAGACAATTATTCCTAGTACTAAGTGCATAAAGAAATATCAGTGAATACATTAAATAATATTTATAATTTGTAACAGAATCAGCTGTATGACTGTACCTATCCTCTGGCTATACTATAATTCAAAGATATTTTTCCCCTTGTCCACAGAGATAGAACATAAGAGATTGAGTGAAATGTCTACATTTGGGACATCTCTAGCAAAACAACATCACAGAAAGCTAAATTATGTATCCAAAAATAAATGGAAAGTAGTTTGTATAACTTTTAATTAGTCTCCTAATATCTAGAGATTCCTACTTTCTTTCCATGGGTATATCCAGTATTTTTATCTCTTTTGAACTATTATTTTTTCCTAATAACTTTATAATTTTAAGTTTAAAAGTATTTTCTCCATAACTTTACATGGACCAACAGACATAAGGCCCTTTTAAGGATCTCCAAGAAAAGCATCACTTAATATGTTCTGATATAAAAATGAATTGTAAGTAGATAAACCTGCAGATTCAAATGAACCGAATCAAAACTATTTAAATTATTTTTTACATAATGCAGGATCTGACAATAAGAAAAGAACTTTTTTCTAACTTTTTAACTATATGACATTTGGCAAGTTACGTTCTATCAAGCACCAAAAAGATTATAGGTTTTCAAATAACTTACAACATTTTCTTTTTAGGTTTTCACCAGGTAACATTGAAATATACAATAAATACGCTCAAATAAAAAAAATTTAAAAGAAGAAATATACAATAGAAACATACTAAGTAGTATGAATCTAAAGTCAAAAGGAGAGTGGTAAATATGTTATGCACTATGCATTATAGAGCATGAGTTAATCTAGAGACCAGCTGGATTGACAAAGTACACAGAATCGCCTAGAGCATGGTACTGATCCTTAGTCAAAGCTGTGAGATGTACTAACCAGGGATAAATGATGTTCTGCAAATATGGGTCCGTGAGCTGTTTCAAGGCAAGACAGACTAGCTTGTCAAAATTGTTTGGCAATAATCATTGGATTTATTCTTTCTACCTGGATTTGGTGGAGTCCAGGGGTTTTCAATGATTTCAGTGAGAAATCCCTACCATACATAGACTTGGGACTTCTTGGTACCAAGATGCTGCATGCACATGCATGCCCATGGTGGTTCAGCACTGGGAGACCAAGTCCTTTGAGGCCCAGTAGAGGGATGATAAAGAAGACTGTGTCGGAGTTCGCCACGCCCACCCTGTTACCGCTTTTCTTTCTCCCGAAGCTGCTGTGGTGCATCCTTTCTGACTACGAACTATTCTGATTCCTGTGAGTCCTTTCCTAATCAATTATGTAAAGTAATTACATGATATTAGCATAATACTTATCATGAGTGCTTAGTTCTAAATGACATCAGTAAAATGAAGGAAATAGTAATTGTTTACTGATACTCTGAGTCAGGCTAGACTTTCACTCCCCCAGGAACCTCACCTGGTTTGAGCTGAACCACTTCTTAACTCATATGGAGTTAAGATGTGGAGTTGAAAAACATGTAAGCCTTGAAAATTATCACATTAAAATACTCGTAATTTCTCCAGTGTGTTAAAAATGTCATATTAATGGAGGTTTTGTTAGTAGCATCAGTTCATAAACTCAGGTATTGTCATTTAAAGTGTAACAAAATAAAGCAGACTGAGGTCAGATGGAAAATGATTCTCTGTGAGTGTGGATAAAGTCACAGAACTTCACTGTGTGATTTCAACGCGTATCCAAAAGTTGGCACCAATTTCATACACATTCCCAGGAAATAAGTAAAATCTTGACCTCTAATACCTCAGAAACAATCACCATCCAAATCTCAGTTCCGTTCTTCTCATCACTTCTCGCTTCCTATCTTTCTCCCACTTGTATTTTTAGACCCATGGCTCCCAGATCTGTGCTTAGTAGTTAGGAAAAATATCAAACTAAATTCACTAATTTTTCAGGTATCCCTTTTTGAAAATAAATTTCAGTAACCACTGAATGTGACAGCTAAGACACCAATTAACAAGAAATATAAAACCACACCTATTTTAAATTCTTAGTTTTAAAAAGTTCATTAAAAATACAGGTTCTAGGGGCGCCTGGGTGGCTCAGTTGTTACGCGTCTGCCTTCGGCTCAGGTCACGATCCCAGGGCCTGGGATCGAGCCCCGCACTGGGCTCCCTCCTCCGCGGGAAGCCTGTTTCTCCCTCTCCCACTCCCCCGCTTGTGTTCCCTCTCTCGCTGTGTCTCTCTCTGTCAAATAAATAAATAAAATCTTTAAAATAAATAAATTAATTAAATAAAAATAAAAATACAGGTCTAGTTTTGGGATTCTGTTTTTGTATTATTACTTTACGGAGAACTACCACCTAAAATATATTCAGAGGACTCAAATATTATTTTTAATAAGTTAAAATTGAGAAAAGACTTTCTCCTTATACTCAATTAAGACCCTGGGTTAAATAATTTGGGGGGGACAAGGAAGGGCTAAAGGTCCCATTTCAATATCAAGATTTGTGCAAAGTGAATGAGGAAATAAATGTATGCCTTTAAAAGATGAAAGTAATATTCTGTAACCTCAAGGTCAAAAAAGTAGTATGAATGATGAGTGCTACCAGGAAGAAGAGATCACTAGGGGATATGTAGGTCAAGGAGGACTTCTTGGAAGATAAGGGATTTGAAATATGTTCCTCAAGATAAGCAGGTTCTAAACAGAAGACAGTATTTTAAACAGAAGAAATGACAGAGAGAGAAAGGCACAATAATAAAACAATAATTCACAAGTCACATTTGAAGGAATATGACTACCCACAGCGAGAGGTAAGTGATAAGGCTGGCTGATGAAAGATTTCAATACCAGGGTCAAGAGCTTAGATTCTGTACAGAATGGGGAGCCACTGAAGGCATGTGAAGAGGAGAGGCACATGATGGATGTGGAATTTTCACTTCTACCCACAGGTCTCAGATCCTCCAGTACTAGAGTTACACAGAATGAGTTCATTCCTTTTTCCATGAGAGCCCTTCCTAGAGCTGAAAACTGCTATTATTTTCCTCCATTTGGAGGAAGGATGAGAAGGACAGAATGAAGAAGAGAGAGACTGAAATCAGGAGATAGCTGAGAAGCCGTTTGTAATTTGTAGGAGGTTTGAAATAAAAGGATGGCTATGATTTCATGTAACTATAAACTTCCTTGCAACTGAAAAATGTTCTTATAAAAAAAAGAAAGAAAAAAGAACAATGTTCTTAACAAGTTGAATGTGTATCTTACTAATATTTCACTTTAAAATTCACTTCAAAGCCTAACGGGCAGCTTTAAAACCAAGTTCTCTACCGACAGAGGAAAAGTGCTGTCTCAAGAACAGACAGTAATCTGCAGAAAGACAGTCACATTTCCTGAGAGAGCCCACACACACGGCTCTAAGAGAGCATCAGACAGTTTTTTCTGTGCTCTTTCCAATTATTTCACATACTTTTCTCAGGACTATGGGTAGTCTTGAAGCATCAACATAGCACCCATAAAAGTCATTGATGTTGCATTCTTTAAACATTGCCTTCAGCATTAAAGGGTATTTTCCAACTGAAAAAGTCTAAATTCTAAAACTTAAACCCATGTTTGTGCAACATAAAACCCGCTGCAATAAAATCCTCGTGTTACCCTCTTTACAGCAATATTAACTCATTGATATTTGAGTATCTGGCCGTGACATTCTGATGGTAACACCAAAACATTTTCATAATTGCCCACACTAAATAATGTCCCCTCTGTGTTCCTTTGTAGGATCGATGGAAAAATATTAAGACATAAGCAACACGATATTTAAAAATAAATACCCTATGACCAAATAAAATGGATTTCAAACCTTGACCTTAGTTGGCTCAGGACTACTTTCTTATCTGTTTTCTAAGCTACAATTTTCAGAACCCCAGGACAGGATATATATCTCAAGGTCCAAAAGAATGTACCCTCTGTCCTATTAAGTTGGCAAAGTTACAGTTTACCAAAGATTAGTCCTATAAAGTCTATAAAGAGATTTTTTAAATGCATGTATTAACCTCAAATAATTTAGCCAGTTTATCTAAAAACATGTACTGCTGGATACATGTATAATCATTTCAATTTCAATTTACTGTATAACTAGTTTTATTAAAAGGCTTTAGAGTCTAAATTCATATTTGTTGAGGACTTAAGCAGAAATTTTATGCAGTGAGGCACACTTAGTTCAGTAATTAACCATATTGATTCACACAGTACACTTCATATCTTCATGTCGTTCTAAAATACCATAAGTTTTGGTCTTAAATTACATTTGCATAAACTAATTACAATAAAGAAGGAAACATTAAAAACTAAAGGCATGTGTTGAGTATTTAGATAAAATCTTCATTGTAATTACATATAACTACAGGTACAATTCTAGAAAACTAAAATTCAACAAAATGTTAAGTAATAAAATTATACATATCTGAAGCCACGTATTTACCTGACATTGCCCTTGGTGTTTCTGAGAACTGTTGCAGCAAAATTCTGTGTGACACCCACCAAGCTGATTCCATCCACTTCCACAATCTGGTCATTGACTTGTATTCTTTGGGAAGAGGAGAAAAATTAGCCACAATTAACTTTCTGATAGTACATTATCATTTTCAATACATGAGTTGACAAAGTACTTGATTTTATGATACTCTTACTGACCCCAAAATTTGTCTTTTATCCACAAGCTCCGATCTTAGTCAAATGCTTAATGTTTTTATTATTTTTTTTAATTTTAATTTTTTTTTTTTTAAGAAAGGCAGACTGCCACGTGCAGAGCCTCATTTGGATGTGTCTGGAGTCTTGGAAGCTTGACTACCCTATGTTCTCCTACAAATGGACCTTGAGAGCTTGTTTGGAAGCTCTAGCAGGGGAGCGCAGAACAGTTCTCCTCTATCGGGGAAGGTCATCCTCTTCGACCGAGCGCACAGCTTCGGGAGGGACGCAGGTGGAGTGGTGAGGGAGAAAGGGGACACCTGCCTAGCCAGCCAGATGAGCCGAATCAACCCTGGAGAGCAATGGGGTGACAGATGTCGCAGCCAGATCACCCTCACATCCTTAATGTTTCTAAAAGATCGTCTTGAACGGTGACTAACATAACATAATAAAATTAAAAAATAAATAAATAAAATAAAAAATAAAATGAAAGATCGTCTTGAAAAATAGATTGTTTTGAAAAGCAATACTAAATGGAGAGATTCAGTTTGCCCAATATTCATATTCCTATCACAAAGAACTGGTAACTGCTAATGTATGACATACTTACATCATTTTTGGTCCTTAATAAATTACATAAAAAACAACAGATCCAGCTGAAATATGCTGTGGGCCTCATCCCTAATCCTGCTTTCCACCTCTCCTCTTCAAGAAAAAACAACAGGAATTGCAGGGAATCCTTCCTATTCAAGTTGTACGCTTGAAATAGATAATGCTCATAACTGTATGTATGTTTATGTGTGCACACACGTATATAAATGCATATATTTATTTATCTTTAGGAGCAATATACAGTATTAGTGTTGTTTAATGTATAATGCTTTTAAGTTTATATACATGTTTTATACATACCATTTTTTTATTCCTCAAAAGGAAGTATTTCTCTCTTTTTTTTCCTGAAGTATTTCAATCATGGAGAAATGCAGAGGGAATTAGGTAATAAACACCCATGTACCAAACACCCAACTTTATCAAATCTCAGCACTGCACAATATTTGAGTCAGATTTTTTCCTAAAGAAATGTATTCCAGAAAAGCTAGAGCCCCTTTATTATTCATCTCTAATTCTAGTCCCTTCACTGCTTCCATAGATGTAACCATCATACTAATTTTGATGCTCAGTCTTCCTATGGACGTTTTGAAGTAGAAATAATATGTATACATGAATATGCACAATATGTGTACATCTGCAGTTTTCAAACATTGTGAAGTGTGCCTCTCATTCCATAATTTAGTTTGCTTCATTCAACGTTATGTATGAGATTTATCTACAGTTATAAATACCATTCTACTAATTCATTTTAACAACCAGGTATATGCATCTTTTGTGAATATATCAAAATATATTCATCCATTATTTGCAGATGGACAGTTATATTGTTTTCCATTTTAGCCATTATGAATACTGCTCATATGTGTCTCCTTACACACGTGTGTGAGTTTCTCCATGATATACACCTAAAAATAGAACTCCTGAATCAAAGAACATATGCTTTTTCAACTTAAACAGACAAATTTTACTTCAAAATGCTTATGCCGATGCATATTCTCAGTAGCACTGTATGTATGAAAGGTTCTGACTTCCCACACTCTCACCAATAGTTGGTATATTCTGACCCTTTAAATACTGGTGATCTTGTAAGTATAAAAAGACATGACACTGTGATTTTAATTGCATTTGCCTGATTACCAGTGTGGTTGAACGTTTATTCATATTTTTCTGAGTCATTTGTCCATTTCTGCAAACTGTTAGATCATGTCTTTTACCCATTTTTGTTGATGTTGTTGGGCTGGGTGTCTTTTTTCTTATTGATTTATTGAAGATGTCCTTATACATACTGTATACTAACACTTTCTCAATTAAATATGTTGCAAATACCTTTGTCCCAATCTGTGGCTTGTCTTTTCACATTTCTTTGAAAAATGGTGATTTTGAGGAAAACAATTTTTAAAAATATAATCACATTTGAAATTTCAGCTTTGTATCAGGTAGTTCTGTGTTTTGTTTCAGGAACCCCTTTCTGCCTCAAGGTTATAACAACATTCTATTATTTTCTTCTAAAAGTTTTAACATTTTGCCATTCTGCATTTAGGTAGTTATCCACCCGGAAGTTATTTTTTATTATAATATGTGTTAGCAGTCTATTTTTATGTTTTCCAAGTGTTATAAACAAATGCCTTAATAACTTTTAATAAGAGTTCACTTTTCCTTCACCGATTTGTAGTGCTGCATCTGTCAGGGTTTCAAATGTGCATCAACATGTTTTGGGTTTTCTACTAGTTTCTACTTGTCTGTCTATCTCTGCACACTCTATTGCTTCATAATTAGTTTTGACATTTCATAGGATAATTCCCTCCACCTTGTTCATTGTCCTCAAATTTTTCTGAGCTATTCTTGAGCTTTTTCTCTTCATAATTAGTTTTGGACTTACTTGCCAAGTTCTATAAAAACACTCATTGAGGTTTTAATAAAATCATACTGATTTTTAGATTAGTTTGGGGAACACTGACATCTTTATCATATTGACACTTCCCACCAATAAACCTTATGCCACTATAACTACTCTGGACAAGTGTTGGGTATATCATATGTTGTTGCCATGTGTCAAGAAGAGTTAAAGTTTGAAAATAAGAATAAAAAGGAGAGCAACCTATCTTTTCAATATGATTTAGGCGCATTATTTAACAGGTCCACCCAAGGATAATTTGGGGGAATGTATTTTCATTGATCCACTGTTTAAAATTGATTAAAATCCTGGATATACTTAAGTTGCATGTTAATTTGCAGATTTTTCTGTCCTGAATAAATTCAGATACTTTCCTTCTGTTAGAAAAGATAATCCCATAGGCCATGGTTTATTTCCCTGTAGAATATTAACTAGTTTTATATCTAACTTAGTAATGTTATTCTAATACTACTTTATTAACTTGTCTTTAACTACGCATGTCTAAAATGTCCTTTGAATCACATTTACCACATCTCACTGGTTCTCTCATTAATTAGTGAGTTAAGTCAAGTCTAATCCGTGTTCATTTTATATGTATGAAAGTCATTTTTTTAACTCTCTGCATATAAGCCTACGATAGCTTCGGAGCTTCCACCAAGATGCCAGAGTGGATTCACAAAGCCAATACAACTGTTACCACAGAAATACGTTTCGTGGGCTGTTTAAGCCCAGGAATAATTGCTTGGTCCCCGGACTGATTCTAAAGCAGCAACAGAGCACTATCTTTGTTAACATGGTTTTGTCCTAATGTAGTACTTCTGAATTTTTTTCTGGCTTTGGCCATTTTGGTTCTGGATCTAGTTTGCGCTAAACAACAATGAAAAATCACTCCCCACTGGTAGCAGCCATGAGTAGGAGTGTAATTTTATATTCTGACCCTTTGAGACGGCTACTGGGATTATAGGGATCTATTATCTCTCATGTGAAAGATGATAAAAAAAATTTTGAGTTACTATCCTTTAATTTTTTTTGTCTATTTGTGGGCTTAAAGTATTTCATAAAAAATTTCCTGAACACTAGAAAGTAAAATAGCCCTTTGAAATCTTGACTGGTGAGTTTTTGTGTTTCTCTGATTACTTAAAACTCTTTCCGAGGTTGCAGAACGGAAGCGACAAATTCTGTGTTGTTGTAATTGAGAAAAGCCATTATCTCTCACTGTGTATGCATGAAATATGTTCCTAACATAGAAGGGTATTAATAAATTAAATTATAAAGTCTTGGAAGTTAAAGGAGTGATAATCTGGTTCAGAGAGAATAGCAAGCACTTTCATAAATCTTATATTCTAGTATCTTATGAAGACTTTAAATGTGCTAGACATTTAAGAAAAAAATCCTTCTTAGAGATTCTGCTAGAAGCTCAGAAATATTTTTATAGAAAGCCCAGTTCACATAATAGAAGTGAATCTTTAGGCAAATAAGACTAATTTAATAATTTTGGTTTAAAATACATACCTATATTTTCTCCATGATTTTGTAAAGGTATGGGTTTGCATTTTCCAAATGAAGAGACTAGTTAATCTGAACTTCCTAATATTCTGATATGGATACTGATCAGATTAACAGTATCCCTACATAAAGCTTAAAAAGCATAAGAAAACCAAATTGTCTTTAACTAAACTGAATCATAATTCTGACAAACTTTTATATCGATGGGAATTATGTTTTATAGAGTGTCAGCTTAAAACACGATTTCCAAGATTCTTAGTTATCTTCAAAACCTTGGTCATAAAGCATAGCTTTTAATACATATAACTCCACTTAAAATGTTAAAGTTACAAAAAGTAAATAAAAAATAAAATGTTACAAAGTTACTTTAACTTTGCATCATGTTAAGGAATGTGTTTATCTTTACACTTTAAGAAGACTATAAAAATTGTGTACGGCTGCAGAAAATGATAGCTACTGGTCTGGTATTGCTTGTGTATGACAGACAATCATTATCAAGTCCCTATCCACCTGCAAAGGTTGTTAACTAGAAGTTGGTTAAGTAAGCTGTAAATTAAGTGTAATATGGATAACTGGGACAATGCTAATGCCAACAGTTACAGAAAAAAATATATTGTGTAGGTGAGGTAATGGGATGGATTTTTTTTTTTTTTTTTTAGAGAAAGGATAGTAGGTTAGTCCAACAGTATCAGCCTGTTCTAGGATATCAGAGAACAAAATGAAGATCAAAACTTGAGTGTGCATAGCAGGTTGAACAAGGTTTGAAGAAGTGATTTTTATTTGCCTTGGTTTATACCATCTGAGGCCAAAAAAGAATTTATAAAATGAGCTGATTTTTTTTACGAAATGCATTCAGCCTTGAAGGACTTATTCATAATATAATTTAG